CCTGAATACTCAAGGAGCTGATAGAGGAGGTATCTGAGCCTTTAGCTATCATCTCTGAAAAATCATGAAAGTCAGGAAAGATTCCAGAAGACCGGAAAAAGGCCAATATAGTGCCCATCTATAAAAAAGGAAATAAGAATAACCCAGGAAACTACAGACTAGTCAGTTTAACTCCTGTACCAGGGAAGATGATAATGGAGCAAGTAATTAAGGAGTCCATCTGCAAACATCTGGAAGGTAATAAGATGATAGGCAACAGCCAGCATGTTGAACCAACCTGATAGCTTTTATTGATAGGATATCAAGACTTGTGGATAAGAGAGAAGCAGTGGACGTAGTATATCTTTGACACAGGTCTCGTGACCTTCTTATCAATAAACTAAGGAAATACAACCTAGAAGGGGCTACTATAAGGCGAGTGCACAACTGGCTGGATAATAACTACCCTCTGAGAATGGTTAATAGCTGAAAATCCTGCTGGAAGGGCATAACAAGTAGGGTTCCTCAGGGATCTTTTTTGGGACTGGTTCTGTTCAATATCTTCATCAACTATTTAGATGATGACAGAAAGAGTACAATTATTAAGTTTGCAGATGATACCAACCTGGGAGGGGCTACAAGTGCTTTGGAAGATAGGGTCATAATTCAAAATGATCTGGACAAACTAGAGAAATGGTCTGAGGCAAACAGGATGAAGTTTAATAAGGACAAATGCAAAGTACTCCACTTAGGAAGTGTAGTCCCCTTACTGAAGGTGCCTCTGACTTTTTCTGGGAGGATCCTGTGTGCTGCAATCTAGCCCTAGGGACTACAACTCCCATGTGCCCTTGAGGAAACCAGGAAGAGAAGGCTTGTCTGGGCATGTGGACAGAGGGTCTCAAGAGTCTGGGGGCTCTCCATTTTGGGACAGAGGAGCCAGGCTGCAGTGGAGGAGCCTTATCCAGTCCAGGAACTGTTATGCTGCAACTAAAGCCCGGGACTGAGAGCCTTTGGGACTTGGATCTAGCAGGCTGCTTCTGGGGCAGCTGATTGCCCAAGAGGGGATAGACACTGGCTGTGCCTGTGGCTCAGAAGGACTACACAACAACCAGCACACAGGAGGAGGCTGTAAGTAAAGAGGTTCTTTGGGAAAGTGCTGCCTGGGACAGACCTCAGATATATAGACCAACTCTGGGCCCAAAGACAGGCAGAGTGTCCAACCCAGGGAACCAGTACTGCTGGCATTTGGTGGAGCCTGCTTTGCAGCTGGCTGCACTGCTTGGACTAACACACACACAACCAGGGCTGGATTACCCAACAGGCAGACTAAGCACATGCTTAGGGCACCAGCAAAGCAGGGGCACCAACCCCAACCCACCCCCCCGAGATTTTACGGTATAGTATTGTTTTTATTTTGAATGACATGGGGGGGAGGGGCATCATAATCTTTTCAGTGCTTAGGGCCTCTAAAGGTCTTAATCCGGCCCTTCACACAACCTACAGAGAACCTCCACTCCAGCTGCAGATCTTCAAGCATGCCCACGCAAGCAAGTGTCTGGAACTCTGAGTCCAGAGGAGTGCACACTCGGGGGTGGGATACATGGTGGCAGTGAAAATGCCAGCTAGATAAGTCCCTATTACTTCTGCGTACTTTGTTAATTGATTTTATTCACTGTTAATCTGTTAAACCCTGTTTCTTTAAGTTGTTAAGTAAAGGTGTATTCATTCTAATGTAATCAATTAGATGGATATTATTTATAATTTGTAATTTGTTGTTCTGGAGTTAGATCCAGATTATTGCTGGAATAATTTTATTCCTGTAGGCTCCCAAGGCACACCATTAAGTGTGTACAGGGCCAGCCAGGTGGAGGCACCACCACTGTATATTCTTTATGAGCCAGGGACTGCAGCAGGGGAGTGAATCCCCAACTAAACAACATCACCAGTGGGGTACTCAGGATCTCCTTTTATGTTAAAACCATCAGGTGCCCAGGCACACCTGTGAGTGTGACCTGCTCATGAGTAACCTGGGGAGGAAAAAGGGAGTTACAGAAGGACCAATCAGTTTCACACATACAGAATGGGAAGCAACTATCTAGGAAGGAGTACGGCAGAAAGAGATCTAGGGGTCATAGTGGACCACAAGTTAAACATGAGTCAACAGAGTGACACTGTTGCAAAAAAAGCAAACATCATTCTGAGATGCATTAACAAGAGTGTTGTGAACAAGGCACAAGAAGTCATTCTTCTGCTCTACTCTGATTAGGCCTCAATTGGAGTATTGTGTCCTGTTCTGAACACTTTTACATTTCAAGAAAGATGTGGAGAAATTGGAGAAAGTCCAGAGAAGAGCAACAATAATGATTAAAGTTCTAGAGAACATGACCTATGAGGGAAGACTGAAAGAATTGGGCTTCTTTAGTTTAGAAAAGAGAAGACTTAGAGGGGACATGATAGCTGTTTTCAAATTTCTTAAAGGATGTTACATGGAGGAGGGGGAAAAATTGTTCTCCTTGGCCTCTGACCTTAAATTGCAGCAGGTTGGACAGTAGGAAAATCTTCCCTACTGTCAAAGTGGTTAAACACAAAATAAATTGCCAAGGGGTGCTGTGGAATCTCCATCACTGGAGATATTTAAGAGCAGGTTAGACAGATACCTGTCCGAGATGCTCTAGACCAGGTCTACTCAACTTTGGAAGCCCCGGGAGTCACAATGATACACACAGCACATGCTGAGAGCCACATCTTCAGTGTGGTTGCATATATGTGCAAATATACGCAAATAGCTTATTTCACACTGACGGGCATGAACACAAAGCACTTCCTACAATGCCCTGGCACTTCCAGCACCTCCTCCCGGGGGACTAGAAACACTGACCCCCTGTATGTGTCTGTTCCAGCCATCCCATCCACTTGTGTTTTTCAGTGCTCACCCCGCCTGGGAGACGCCTTGCCATTGTGGAGTGTGTTTCCAGTGGGGGCCATGTTCAAAAGATCCCACCTGTGGACTGCGTGTTCAGCCCCTTAAGCCCAAACTGCACCGCGGGCCGCAAAGAAACGGGCCGCGGGCCACATGCGGACTATGGGTTGTATGTTGAGTAGTTCTGATCTAGACAGTGCTTGGTCCTGCTGTGAGGGCAGGGGACTGGATTCGTTGACTTCTTGAGGTTCTTTCCAGTTCTGTAATACTATGATTCTATATTTGGATTAATTATGGTCACCCTATCCCAAAAAAGACATAGCTGAAATAGAGGGAATTCAGAGATGTATAATGTAAGTGATTAGAGGCATAGGAAGACTACCATGTTATAAGAGACAGAAAAGAATAAAACTGTTTTGTTTGGAGAACAAATGAATAAGAGAGAAAATGAAAAAAGAATGCAAAACAATGAATAGCGTCAAGAAGGTTTGTTGCACACTGCTGTTCAAATTTTTCTCATATTTCAAGAACAAGAGGATGATCAATTAAATTGAAAGACAGTAATATTTAAAACTGATAAAAAGGGTTTTTTACTCTACATGTACTTAACCGGTGGAACTTTCTGATGAAAGGTATAACTGAAGACAAGAACTTAGTAGGATTGAGAAAAAAGAACAGGAGAGATGTATGGATAATGAGAACAGGAAAAATAGAAAACATTGCTGGGAATCAAACAACACTATGCAAGCAGGGTTGCTATAGCGGTGTTAGTCGCAGGATATGAGAGGCAAGTCGGTGAAGTTTTTACTGAACTAGCTTGTGTTGACTGGAGACAGACATTTCAAGCTTCAAAGAACTTTTCTTCAGGTCCTTTGAGGCTTTGCAGTTTCCTCCACAGTAGAAGTAGGTCCAATAAACAATATTACTTCACCCACCTTGTCTGTTTAATATCATGGGACCAACGTTACTGCAAACCTCCAATACAAGTCACCAAAAGGCAGTCATTAAACCACAGATGCATTCTGTGCATTAAGCGACACAGCACACATTAAAAAGTTCTTACTCAAGTCCAACAATGCTGAAGTTTGAGAGACAGCTTTTCTTAGAGAGGTTGAATTATTTTCAAGCAATGAAATATTATTTATATTCTAGTTCATAGCAGCATGCCATATTACATTAAGGTTAATCAGCATTTGCCCTACCACCGTTAGAAACAAACAGTCAAATGGAAAAACTAGAAGAATAGATGTAGCTACAATGCACTCATTTATTTCCTAAAAACACCCACTGATGTGCCATGATCTTTGGGTCCCCAGGAAACATTGCACAGATGATTATCTCACCAACATATAGGAACACTTGCTCCTCCACATATCTACCTAAGAGCCACTGTCTCACTTAGCATGTTTGGAAGGTAAATATTCTCTATTTTTATTTTCTTCCCACTGCTGTAACCTTTCTTCATTTCTTTTTCTAGCTTGGTGATTCTCACACACTGCTATTATAACTATAGCTCCCACAAAATGTGGACTGTAATGTTTGAAAGGCTCCTCTTTACCATGCCCTGCTGATTCCAGTCTACAACTGTTCATCATCCATTCGATAATAATAATAATAAAAGTCTGAAAATTCTCTCCTGTTTCCAGTGGGACCAAGTTACAATATAAAGCTACCATATTGGAACAGGATTGCTAGTCCTTCCCGTAATGGTGGCACTATAGGAGCTGTCAGTCCCGCAGTACAAACTCCTCACAGCAATGATCCGTCACTATCAGATATTATTTTAGCACTATAAACTTGGTCACAGTTATGCCCTGCTAAGACCGGCTATAACTCTAGCACAATAAGCTTCCTCAATGTCATGTTCTTTCCCTGTGGATCATGACTCTTGCTGACACGTTCAATGAGAACAATTTTATTTTTTTAAATCAACTGTCTAAATTATTAACACAGTGATAAAAATGGCACTAAATCATCTGCAGAAGGCAGCGAGAAAAAATTGCACCATAATCTCTCATTTCAGAACCAGACAGCTGTTTTATGCAGATTTCCCTAAAAATAGTAGGGAGAATCAGTGCATGGGGAAACCTTGGTGATGTACCTGGGTAAGGATGCATATTGCCTTTCCATCCCTTCAAAGTGGAGATTGTGTGAACTCCCATCTGGACCTTTTCCAGACACCTGTGGAGAGAAGAGTAATTAGAGATGAAGATCAATTATACACCCCAGTTACTGACAATGCATCTCAAAATGATAATCGGAGAACAAATGATGTAGCAGCAGCGTGCCAAAATCAACAAAAGAAAGGCAGAGGCTCGGAGAATTCACAAATCCCTTTCTTAAATCTTATCACTGCTCAGAAGAAAGGGTTACATATCAAAGGACTCTTTAGAACAGGTACTGTCCTCAGTGCAGATCTTTTGGCAGTAGGCCAGCAGAGATACTGTAAACTTTTTTGGTTAGTCTCCCATGCAATTCAGTAAAATTAGGAGATAAACCTGATTATATAAAAGCATCTCTTAATATTGCTGAGTAATGCATTCATTATTCAAAGAAAAGATGAGCTTACATACTAGGTCCACATCTGTTTATCATCTATTGTCGATTTTTCTACAGTAAAAAAATGTGCTATAAACAACCTTTGCTTTCATTCATAACACAAATCCAGCAGCTTTGCTGTTGTAAAACTGAATATCCAACAGGGATGTCAGTGCAATTGTCATGCCCGAGTCTAATTTCAGAAGTGAAGCTCAGTGAAAACATCAGCTCTCTACTTGGTTTGTTTTCAAGATGGCAGCTGTAGTTGGCTGGAGTCTGAAAACCTAACAGGAAGACTTAAACTAAGGTAGAAATGCTGAACTTAGATGCTTTTAGCTCACCAGAGTTCTCCCTATTTTACTCACTCGATGCCTGTTGATGGTCCAAGTGTTAAGAGCTTTGTTAAAATGCAGCTATTATTCTTTTCCATCATAAATGCAGAAAGCTCACTGACTGCATTCAGTGTATCCTACATTAGTATGTATTCGTATTCTGGCACTGCTAGAATCAGCAGTTTTATAAAGCAATACACCATGAGACCATTTAAAATTCCCTTCCCCCTTTACAAATTAATGGCAGAAGGGAAGATTCAATGCCTTTGCAAACACTTGTTAACAATGCATTAAGAAGAAAAGAATAAATCACACTAGCCTTTCTGTAAACGTCTGAAGGCAAACAAACCAAAAGTAAGATGTTTTCCACATTCTACAGGTTAGGGCTCCCTCCTGTCAATCTTGTAATTTATGCATAATACATCGGTTTAAAGAGATTTCAAATCTGTGGGGATGGAAAATTTGTGCACTGAATTGTAATTAGTCTTACTTACCTGTACACAATGTTTTCATGTACAATATCTCTTCGGCAGAGATCCATTGCAAAAAAAAAAAAAAAAAAAACCAAGTCCAAAGCAAACAGATGTATTATCAGATTAAGTTGCTAAGCAGGTTTCAGGAATCATTGTAGACTAGCAGCCTTATACCAAGACTCTACATCCTAATATTTGGGAGTTAATATTAGTAATAATCCAACCTTTTGCTAAGTGAACAACTTTTTCTGGAGGGGCCCTTGACTAATATCTCTGATTGAATCAAAATGGTTAGAAGACCTTAAGAGGTTGATGAGTACCAGAAAATAATCATCTCTGATTTGAAATGACCCTACTTTAACAGTGCCTCACTTAGGGAAAATAAATCACTGTCCTAGATTTCCAAATGTGGGTAGAAGGCTAAACAGATTATTTTGTTCATTTTTCCACCAGAAAAAGTGACACACATTTTACACCACAAACGAGTATAAAAATTCACAGTCACTTCAGCTGTTCTCACACTTCTAATTTGAGCAGTTTGGTCATTTTCTTTAAATAGCTAAGTACTCTGGTGATAGACAAACCCAGAACTTTTTGGTATGTTTTGAGGAAAAGCAAAGCAAAGAAAACATATTTAAGCTTTTGTTTACTGAGCCCAATAATCATGTAAAATACTGCCTCCCTGCTTGATGCAAGACAGCGGATACAAGATAAATTGTACACGTGACGGTTAATTCCAAATTCTACACCAGAATGCAAGTTTCCTGGTGATTACTTTTCAGCCTAATAAGTGTAATAGCAGTCAATGTACAGCAACATGAAATGATGACATTTACCAGGTGTTTACCAAGAAAAACTTATGTAGTCACTATGCAAGTAAAAAGTACTTACATTAGATGTGTGCATTGTAACAACCTGAAGCATCAATTTTCTGATTGTTTCTTACAGAGAAAATAAAATCAGATGCCTCCTGCCAGTTCTGTTTGTGTATGTGCTCTGAGATACAGTTGCCATAGAAACTAATTGTGGCTACAATTTCATAAATTTGGCTCCACATAGCTGATGAGTACATTCCTGTGAATCCCTTTGACATTTTATAGGTTTTCATTTTATTTTGGAGGGGATTTTGTTTTACTTCCTTTTATCTTGGGAGGCCCAGGTGGGGTGGCCGGGAGATCCTGTAGTTGCAGAATAGCCTGCTCAGCACTCACTGTACAGTGGTGCTGGGCCAGCCTGCCTGTTCCAGGCATTGTGACCTAGCAAACGGGATTGCAGTCCCTTCCACCATGATGAGTGGATCAACCCAGTGTGACGTGTGCACCAGGTCATAACACCTGGAGCAGAGTCCAGCCCCACTGGATGGAGATACTGCTGTGAAGTTAGTTTTTTGTTTTATTTCACGTTATTTCAGTTTCCTGAAAAACATGAGGTTCTACTGATGGTTCTTTGCATCCACCACAGAACTGTACAATAAGCTCAGAGAGCAAATTCTGTGTCTTTAATTAAAGACTCGGCCATCCCTTCTCATTTCCTTTTTCCATCTGTCTACACGTTAGTAAAGATGATATATTGCTGAATTAAAAGTAAAATGGCTTCTGAAAGAAGACATTGACCTGATGCTCTGGAAATGTCTGCTTCTTTAAATTCTTAGCTATGTTCTGGAAACACTATAAAGGATGGTTCTGTATCAACTCTCTTTGGGATTAGTTAGGCTAATAATCTGCTTTAGAAGGACTAATTTAATAAGATCAAGCACCAAGTAGTAAGAACAAAAGTTGATCTGCAAGTCCAAACACTGGTACACAATCAATTTTAAACACAGTATTTGCTTGCCTTAGATTAACTATAAATAATTAACTATATTAACTCAGAAAAAAGATTGGAGAGGCCACTATAGACCTCTGCTCAATTTATAAAAGAGGTTAAAAAAAAAAGCAAGCAAAATACTAGGATGCAAAAAGAATGGGATAGAGAATTATGCAGAAAGTATTATAGTGCAATTAAATAAATTAGTGGTATGACTGTATTAGAAATGGTGAAAGTACTGGAAGCACATGAAGAATTGAAAAGATCAGGACTGAGTTTAGCAAGAAGATGAAAATTTGAGAGGACAGAGTAAACAAACTGTATACAATAGGTATATTAAGCATTTTTATTTACTCTTTCAAAATGCAAGAGAAAAGGAGCATCTGATAATTGCCTCTGTTTGAGACTAGAAAGCAGATTATATAGATCGCCTGTCCAATCCCTACATTCTTCTGTCATGTGCCAGGTAGATTTCTTTTCTGCATAATTAGGAATATTCCTGTACATGTATCGTTTTCCTCCACTTATATCTTCCGTTAGCAAACAAGGGTTTTACTGTAAAAATAACTCACTTTTGGAAAATGCATGGCAATTCCTCTGCACCTTTTAATCAAAATAATGCTAATATAGTAGAGGAAGATTAAAACACAAAATGAAGAGATGCATGGAGGCACTCCGACTTCTAATTGTTCAAAATTCACAAACTTTCACATGGGGCTGATCGAGATAAGCATAAGATACTGCTGTAGTAGAGCACACAATTTCCATGGGCAGGTGGAATTTGAATTTGATTGAAGGAGAAAAGCTGTGAAAAGATCCATATTATATGTGCTATAATTCAACCCACATTGAGAATGTGAGTATAATTGGGGGGGAGGAGGGAAGAGATGTAAATTTAAGCTATGGCTCTGTCAACTATAATTGTTGTATGGTACTTGATCTGAGATGTCTAAGAAGAAGAAATGATCAGTTAGTTGCACATAATTTCCTAACTCTGCTAATTCTTCCAAGGCAAACTGCCCTAAAACTAAAAATTAAGTAAATATACACATATAGTCTAAACCTAGTGAACAAATATCTTTGATCAGCAGAAGGTCTGTGCTGGAATGACAAGACATGAGTTGTCAAGTGCCAGCAAGTGTTGTTACGAACTGACTTAACTGGGTATCTGGAAATACTTTCTTGGTGTTGAAAAAAAACCAAAAAACCAAACCAAACCAAACCAAAACAAAAGAGGATGGCTACAAGCACACGGACACTTACTCTCTTTCATGCTGAGAGTGAGACTGGTTTGAAAACAGTCATCTTACTTCTTTTGCTCAGGAAGGATTTAGTTTAATTTATTCTTGTCCATACTTGACTTGTCATTGGGTCTGTTCTCTGAATTCATCATAAGTTTAGGGAAAAGAAATCTACTTAGCCAGGAACTATTTGGACTATACCATTTAACATGGGGGCAGTGAGCATTTCTGGTGTTGGCTGGGCATTTTTTGTACAAATACATTATATATTTACACAGAGAGTCCATTACATTTCTTAATGTAGGGACTGTCTATGTATTTGTGCACTGCCTAACGTGAAGGGGGTCTTGGGCTATCATTGGAGTCCCAAGGTCTTGTCTTATTCTCTTCCCATAATTCCTCACTCTGGATGGCATTCTACTTCTCTCCTAGGATCTACCTAGCCTACCTGATAGATCTTGATTTCCCTGGTGAGCTATTGGAGGACCCGGATATGTCCTTTCAGCTGGCAGTTAGAATGGAATTGTAACCCAGTGTAACCCAACTCTCATGCTAATTGAAAAATCCCAACTTCCAGTGAACTACACAAGATCAGCTGGGGAGCAGAGGCAGAATTTTAAAGGGGCAGCTGGGGACTCCACAGCTGATCTCCAGCTGCACATGGCATTTTACTAGAACCCGGGGTCAGCTGGGGACTCCCCAGCTGATCCTGGGTTCTGGGGAAATGCCGTGCAGAGCCCGGAATCAGCTGTGGAGTCCTCAGCTGACCCCGGGCTGAACTGCCCCTTTGA